TATATGGCAGAAGTTGTGTACACACTTTAATACTTGGTTTCTGCTTTTCTCTATCCCTCTATAATCTCTCTGCCTTTTGTGGAAGTTTATAAGCCAAACACTAAAAATGGCAGCATCAACTTTATGAAGGAATCAAGTTCTCCAAAGTTCTCTAAGACAAATCCAAATAATATATGAAATAGCAAAAGTCTGTGGCAAATTCTAACTCCTGAAAGAAAAAAAAAACACCAAACTATGGTGTCTGCACCAAAGAGGAAGCTATAATTCCTTTTGAGTATTTCATATAAAAAATTTTTAAGTGTCCACACTCAACATTAACATTAACATATGTCAAACTGATAAGCTGAGCCTTTACAATGAACTTAGGGAATATTATAATTTGAACTTAACTACATGAAAAGTTCTATGTTATCTAAAAGCTTCCTTCTTTTAAAATTTTATATTATTTTAAAAATGATAAATTCACAAGGCAGATTTAAATTCATCAATAACTACATTTACATGTACATGAGCTAACTGGAACACTTCTTTATAAAATTTTGAGTGCTGTCAAAGTTTTCAATCTGTGCTGTGTGGTGCTGTCTGCGGAGAGAAAACAGCTCTGGAATGAGCCAAAACAATGAATGAGATCTGTGGTTGTAATCAAGAAATTTACCACGGCTATGTATACAAATTTGTTTGAGCAGTGTTTTAAAATATGTCCTCAAAAGTCAAGAAACTTGGATCACTTTCTTTCACTTATTAAGTTGTAACTGAGAGCAAACAATCAGATATTTCTAAGTTTCCTTTTCTTCATTTGTAAATAGGCAAGTGTCCCTAAAGTGAAAGAGGCTGGTCCAAATACACTCAATACATGTTTGCTCAACACATGTTTGTGGGTCCTCAAACCACGTATCCACTTCCACAATGGCATCAGCTCATAGACCTGGTAAGTATACCAAGAGCTACTGCATTATATTTGTTATGTAAATGGCATTATCCAACATCTATGAATGTTATATAATTTAAAATGTGCCTAAAACCTGTTTAAACCTTGCTTTAAAAAAATGAGTTAAACTGGACTATGGTGATGGCACATGGGTGATTTGGTAATGGGAAGTCCATGGGGATTACAACTGAGATGGAAAAAGGTACAAAAGGATGTAAAAATAAGCTATTATATTATTTTAAAAAACAAATAAAAAAAATGAGTTAAAGGTCTTCCTGATGGTGATGGTGCAAAGGGTTAAGTCTTAGCACTACCAAGCAATCAGCACCCACTGTAGCAGACCTCTCCTGTCTCACCCGCTGCTCCCCTCAGCAATGTATTTCAGTAGATCCACCTATTCTGCTTCCCACTCTGTCACTGGTGAATCCTCTCACCCCCCTA